TCAGCGCGCTCCTGGTGCGGGTAGTGCAGCTCGTTGTTCCTTTATTAGAGGCTATTAAAAGCTTGAAACATAACGGTTAGTTTGAAGGTGAAGGCTTGCGTGTGACCAAGGCCCATACAACCAGACGAAAAGCCTTTTTCATCACGAGGGTGATAAAGTCACAGTGTTCTTTGATCCTCCACATTTAATTAAGAATTATGAACAATTAATTGTTGATCTACCACAATTTATGTGGGCCTACTACTACTTACTACTCATCATGATGATGATACTGCGAGCTAGACAGTTATTCAAAATTTTAATGAAAAAGACAGTGCCTTGGGTTTACTCAGGGTGGCACCTAAGTTAACCAACTGTGTGTCAAGTTTTGGACGACAAAGGGTTTGTTTGCCTGTGCACGTGCTTAGTCGCAGTGTATCAAAAGCAATTAAATTGGGATGTATCTCTGAATAAATCCTTTGTCTGACATCGCTATAATATATGATTTCTGTAATGACTTTGATGATCTTTTCACATTTCAACGTTTTCATTTGGTGACTTGTGTCATCTCTATCGAATATATCGTAATCCAGTCACAACTACATCACATTCACATGACAGCACCATTAATTTTTGCAGCAGACACCCCTGTGTGGTTGAAAGTAATGAAAGATAATTCTTGAAGTTTTGGCCCAAAGGACAAAAAGAAAGTTGCAAAAGCTTTAACATGAGTCTGTGAGTGGATCCACAACATCACTGCTTGGCAAGGTCTTGTGGGAGACATTGTGAGCTGCAATGGGGGATTACTAATACAATGATATAATCAAGATGAACTTGAACATCTGTTCTAAGTCACCAGAGGAATGGGTGGTCATATTTTGACAATCCGGGACCCCCCCCCCCCCCAACAGTTACATTTTTGTTTAAAGAGACAGTTAATGGCTGACAAAATTATGATCGAATCGCCTTTAAGCAGCTGCAGGGATGTAGTGGATGGCTTTTTGATGAATCAAAATCTAATGAGTAAGAATTTCAGTGAAACAATAGTTGCAATTCTGTAGACCTGGATTAAAAAAACACAAATACAGTGTTAATTTTGTTAAATTTGCATTAATAAATAAAGATGCAATGCACTTAAAAATGAAATTTCTGACGTAAGTGGATGCTCTTTGAAGAAACTTTACGATGTTGTCTGCAAGGACTGTACAGGGATATTGGAAGATCCACCATCTTCTCATGCAAGGCACCTGGCCCTCATCAGCCAGAAACAATTTGAACATTGTCGTCACGGTGGCTTGAAAAGCCAGTTTTTAAAACTTGTAGAATTTGTTGGTTTGCTTGAAGCTGCTTTTTAAAAAACGCATTTTAAACCTTTGATGAACAGAGCGCACAGTAGACAGAATCTAAACCTGAAAATGCTCCACGAGCCAAACGTGTTTGAAAACAAAGGTGAATCTTGCAAATGCAACACAGTGGACTATGAGTCTGAGTCAGTGTATTTTTATTAACGTCAGACTAGACTTTGATCTTTACAGTGCAGTGAAAAATTCGTGGCGCAACTTGTCCTCAAACATCTCTTTATTTGCACAGCAGTTTGCATCATTTATCTCAACGTATTCATATTTTACCACAACAAACGAGGCTAGATTTAAAAACGTATCTTCATGAATTTATATAAGATACTAAAAAAATGAGGCCAACTGGTCACCCCACAGCTCGTGTTATAGTAACACTGCGTGTGTTGTGTGAGCTCATTAATGCGCAGAGCAGCGCGCGCAGTTGCCGACCTCGATTCTCCGAAATTGCACTCACTAAGGCCGAAGAAGGATTGCACCGTCTCGGTGTTTACGGTCTGTGCTACCGGGAAATAACTATTAATTTTTCTTTTTAGGCCAAAGCATAATACATGTATTATGGCCCAATTTAAATGACTAAATTTAAGTATTTTACGAACTAGAAAATATGGTCTACTAAAATGTTTCTTCCTTTCTTTTCCTCAAACTTTTATTTCGCGTATGGCTGACGTCAGCTTTGTAAGACCCCCCCCCCCCCCCCCCACCCCCGGATGTAAACATTTGTCAACATTTTACTGACCCCCCCCCCCCCCCCCCTGGGGGGGAGGGCACTTGGTAACGGGCCTTTCAAAAAAAAAAAATTTGAAGATTTGTTAAAAATTTTGACTGATCATGGCCAAAGGGAGTTGGGCCCCCGCCTTTTTTAATTAGAAAT